CAGCGGGGAACGTTGTAGACCCCAGTGCCAACAGCGCACGCTACTTCTCCGCCATTCCGGCGTCACCTCCGTGGCACCGACAACAGCGGCTGAAGAGAGCCAAATCCAGGGCTAGGATCCATAAAGCCCGTCTACGTGGTGAGCCACCTGCACGCAACGACCTCCTTCGGCTTGTCAACCACCACTCGAAGCCGAAGTACCGTGAGGCCAGACACATGGGCCGTGGGCGACAATCATGGCAACAATGGCCCAAGGCTGCAGACTATGGCAGCTCGCAGTGGTCGCAGGATGGATGGCCAAAGGGCAAGGGCAAGGAATGGAACCATGGTGGAGGCCGGCGACAGAACGAGGCCTCGAGCTCCAGGAGACAAGCAGCCTTCCCATCCTTCGAGATGATGTCGGTGGACGCTGCAAGCAGTGGACAATGGATGTGGCAGGAGGCAGAGCACACCGAGTCGAAGAAGGAGCCTACCCATGTCAGCGGAGTTCAGCGGTTGCTGAACAATGTTCGCAAGACCGAAGGTCGTGCCAGACGGCTCGAGGCCGACCAGAAAGCAACAGAGGCCAAATGGGAGAACTTCCGCCAAGAGCTCAAGACAACCTTTGTCAAGGAGAGGGCGCGGTTCATGGAAAAGATGGACAAGCTTCGCGTCGACTTGGAGGAGGCGGCGCAGGCCAAGGACGACGCCCTGCTCGAGCTCAGGGAGATCATGGCGAACCCCAAGGCGGCCAAAAAGCCCAAGGCGGTCATGGAAGAGGACGCGGCAGCGCTCGAGGAGCTGGCGGATCTACTACGGCAACCACAGACCGGGACCAGCGACCTCGCGACGCTACTTGCTGGAGCGGTTGGGGACGGAAGTCTCTCCGAGGAGGACCGGCGCAAGAAGATCCTACAGGCGATCGAGTCGCACCGCACCGGAGACACGCCACACACCCCCCGACGCCGAAAGCCGCAGTTCATGGCGATGACCCCGCCGGGAGACAAAAGCAGGGAGCCCGACCGAGTAATGGATGTGGACCAGGAAGAGACCTACAAGGGCAACGATGCGACGGTGAAGGCGGACCCCTACCAGATGTCGCCGACAGCAACTACAATGGCCCCGTCCCCCAGCGGCTTGGATACAAGGACAAGGCCGCGGAGCCAAGGGAGAAGCCCATCAAGTTTGTGGGCCGGGCCCCGCGCAAAGAGCAGCGCACCGGTGCGCCTCTTGCGGACAAGCTGGAGGCGCGCAGGGCAGAGATCGAGAGGCAGGAGCAGGCGGAGCAGACGGTCTACGACTCCGAGGAAGATGCACTCCTGGACGAGTTGGGGAAATCGTCCAAAGGCCCGAAGGTCCCGGACATCGACTAGCCGGGCGTGCCACACAGCAGTGCAGTATCCTGCAGCAGACCGGGAATGAGGAGATGACCGGTCATAATCCTTATGAACTTGAAGGTGATGGCTCTTCGGAGAAAGGCCTTCAATCAGATGGCGTGATCAGCGGCTTTTTCGGTACGTCCGCTGACCCTCCCAATGATGATCCCATGCACAGATCGGGATCTATCAATCTATCTCATGATGCCTGCCGCCCAGGGCTTTTTCGGCGTGTCCCTGGTGAGGCTCTGGCAAGAACAAGGCCCCTAAGCCCTACATCATGCTGGCACGGCCCCCCGGGAGGCCACGACCGAGCACAGATGTTTGGATGGAGGGCCTATGATGTCATTGACATCCAGCAGGCTGTTCTAGCCTGGCTAGGTCCACTACTTTGGTGCATGGTGGAACAAATGGCAGGCTATGCGCAACGGTTCCTCTTGACGATCCTTTTGGCCTTGTTGACTGCAGAGGTGGCCTTGCCGCCCACTTTCGCAAGGCGTCGTAAGGTGAGACAGCCAGCTGTCTGGATGCGCATTGTGCTCTTCGCCACCCTTCTGCAGGTTAACCAGGCTGTGCAAACTGGAGGCCCAAGCAAAAGTGCAGGCGGACCTCCAGACCGCTGCCCCAGACCTACGGACCTGCAATTGTGGATGGATGGCCAGGCTACCCTGCGGGAGCAACTAGCACAGGCAATTGAAAGGAATGTTCTGGAACGGCCGCTCCTCAGCGGGGGCCACACAGACCCTGGTGGACCGCGGCGACACCCAGAACCCCATGAGCCTGAGTTGCCAGCAGAAGTCGAGACCGATGACATGCATTGGATCAACGAGCAGGAGGAGCGGGCGGTGCACGTCTCGTTCTGGATTGGATCCCCGATGTACGAGCCGGTCTCCCTGGACGTGGCCATGGCATTTCCATTGGAGGTCCAGCACATCTATGAGGTGATACAAGAGTCCCTGCTGGATCTGCCAACCGAGATACTGCGGTTCACGACAGCCGTCACCCCGCAGATCAATGAGGCGTTTGGCAGTGTCCTTGTACTACCCGAGTGGCTGCCCATGTCTGGCCAGTATGCCACTGTGCTCGACGCCAGATCCATCGACAAAGGACTCTCCTGTGTCTACCTTGAAGGCCCAGTCACGCAAAGGCTGATAATGTACCAGCTGGGCTTGGAGACTATCGAAGGGATAGCTATCTATGCCTACGGTGCCCTACAACCCTTGGGACCCGAAGAACAATTGCCACCGCGACAAGCCGGGCTCATTCAGGTGCTGGCAGCCGGAGCGGTTGTTGAATGGGCCTCCGAACTGGAGGATAGACTCCTAGAGCCAGACAGATGGCGGCCGGCAGAAGAGCACCCACAGCACAAGCCTGGCCGCTATGTCGACTTTCAGACCTCCGACAAACGTCACCTACACCCGCTTGGGAGACAAGCACCATTGCCTGCCCAGCAAATTGCGGCTGAGGCGTTCGACCTTGAGCCAGAAAGCCTCTGGACATGCCCGCCTGCAGAAAAACCTCGCCGCCTGTATGACCAAGGGCAGCGAATACATTCGATCATTGCTGTTGTCGACAAAAACGACTTCCCGCCGGAGGACTTCCAAGTCGTGTTCCTCGACCTACGGCCAGTCGGACTGGCGATGCAATGGACAACAGTGCAGCAGCGGAAGTTTGAGCCAGGGGACTACCTAGAGAGCCTCTTCATTCCCTATGTGGAGGGTTTCTCCCTTGTGGTACATGGGGGGAGAAGGAGAGGCCACAGCGCAACCCTTTCTATCTACAATGGAGAAACCCTCGAAGTGGTGCTGCGACGCACAGCAGATTTGACACCCAGCCCAGAACCATCTGAGCGTGAAGATGCAGATACGGATGCTGACAGCTCGGGTGATGATGATCACACCGGACCGGGGATCCCTGACTCCAGTGATTTTAGCTCTGGATCGCCGCCAAGAGGCCCTGGACCATATGGCCCACCCCCACCACAGCCCGTCCGGCGAGAGCGGAGCCGGAGCCCCAGACAGCACGACGGCCGCACCGAACAAGACCAGATGCCTGCTGTGGCAAGTGCCAAGAAAGTGGGCCGGGCGCAGCTGGAGCTCTTCAAACTCACACAAATGAGTGCTCAGAATGAAGAGCCGACGGCGGGCCCACGGCTACTGGTCTACACCCCCTCCGTTGATCTGACTGTTGATCGCCTACAGCTACCGCATGGAGATGGCATCCTCGACGCACTGTTCAGCACATGGTCGATTGAGTGGATGCAGTATGATGCCAGCTGCTTGCCACTTAAGGAGGCAACCAAGAACGGACTGAACAAAGCTGTCCACTGGAGCCAAATCTTGCGATGCCCGCAAAGTCAAGAAGGAGTGGAAGTCCAGCTCTATGCCGACGGCTCTTTCCACCCGGGGAGAAAACGCAGCGGCTATGGAGTCGTCATCTTGCTCAGGTATGCCCACTTGGTGGCGCTATTTGGGATCATCGGCGGCCAGATCCTTGGCGACCCCCAGAACCCGTGGCCATGGGACACTGCACCTGCAATGCAAGCGGAGTTTGTAGCGCTCGCAGCGGCCTTACTGTGGTTGGGGCAGAGCGTCAGCTTCCTCAATGTGAAATCGGCTGCAATCTACTTTGATTGTCAAGCGGCGGGGTATGCCACGGACGGAACATGGCGAGCCCCGAACCCACTTGCGCAACAAATCCATGGCTTGGAGCTGCTAGTTCAGCAGCGCCTATGCCACAGCATGCACATGGGGTATGTCAAGGCCCATCAAGGTGATGAGTGGAACGAGTTTGCGGATGTGGTGGCGAAACAAGGGGCGATAAACCCGCAAGGACTCCCTGCGCTACCAGCCGATGTTTGTGCGGCATTCCTTGCAACGGATCTTACTTGGGCGGCAACAGAGCAATATGCCCAAGCCTACCACTCTTGGCCTGGTGAAGACCCCGGTGTCATCACCATCCCGGAGGCGAAAGACCGGCGGCTTTCGCCCCTCCAAGGCACAGACCTGTTGCCTCTGACCAAAGGCGTTGCTCGGGAGGACGCCGATGACTTCACAACACATGCCCTGTCCGTCAACGTCCGGGGCATGCGCGGCAAATACAAATACCTGGAAGAGCAACTCCATTGGCGACGTTGCCAAGTGGCATTCATCCAGGAAACCAAGGATGAGGGTGGCACATGCCACAGCAAACAGTATCTACGCGTTGCAACCCCAGCGGAAAGACACTGGGGTGTTGCAATCTGGCTCCATAAGGAATATGGGGCTTTTACTACCAACGGTGCCCCGTTCCGAGTCGATGAGGTGGACCTATGCATCGAGGTGCAGAACAAGCAGCTGTTGGTGGTCCAGATATGCCGTGGGGCACAGCGAATGATACTGTTTTCTGGACACTGCCCCCACGCTGGACGACAGCAGGAGAGGCTGGAAGTTCTGGCCCTCTTGTCCCAATGCCTGCAAAAACACCGTGATGCGGCTATCATCATCGGGGGTTTGGATGTCAATGGCCGCCTCCCTTGTGGTGTTCCGAATGTCACGGGGCTCCTGGAATATGGAGATGTGGACGAAGCTGGACGACAGGCGCTGAAGGTGTTGGTGGAATGCGGGCTATGGGCTCCGTCAACATACGTGGAGCTCCACGAAGGTCCGTCAGCTACCTATCAACACCACAGTGGGCAGCTGCACCGCATCGATCACATCGTCCTGGGAGGAAAGGCGGGCATACACCAGCTGCGCAGCAGCGTTGCCGAAGACCTGGACACGGCCACGAAGGGCTGGGACCACTGGACTGTGGAGATGAAGTTCAGTGGATCCATTGGCCCTGGTGCTGCGAACCAACGCCTCCGAAGACCGAGGTATGACAGGCACAAAATGGCCACGCCGGAAGGCAAGCAATTAGTACGGCAGGCCCTCCGGAAATATCAGCCCCTGCCATGGAATGCACATGTGGACGAACACTATCGCCACTTCCAGCAGTTCGTCAACGGTATCTTGGAGGAGCACTTTCAAGTGGATTTGACGGGGCCCCGAGCGTCCTACATCCCGCCGGAGGTGTGGGACCTCCGCGCCGGCAAGCTGAAGCTCAAGAAGGTGGCGAAGCACCGGAGATACTACTGGCGCGACTGCCTCCGGGAAGCCTTCCTACAATGGGCTGACCGCAGTAATGCGGAGCATGCGAGGAAGATCCGGAAGGAAGGCATCCTCTACGAACTGGTGGCGACAGCAATTGGTATGGCGACAAACACCATCCGCGCCCTGATTGCCAAGGGCAAAAGTGCCATGCTTCAGAACATTGCTGAACAGGGCCAGGCTACAACTTGCCAGATCCACGTAGGGCGAAAGCCTTTGGGATTGGTGGCCGACAGTACAGGAAACCTGGGCAGCAAGCGCAATGCCCCGATGGCCTATGCGGCGCTGTATATGGTAAGTCACTTCAGGCGATGCAGAAAACAGCGACGATCAGCCGGAGCACTTTTCCTTGATACCACGGCTGCATATTATTCTGTATTACGCGAGGTGGCAATGGGAGAGCTCAACTTCGACACCACGATAGTACGGCTCTTCCAGCAGTTTGATCTGCAGCCAGCTGACGTGGAGGAGCTCTGGAACTTCATCAATTCGGGAGGAATCATGAGCCTTGAGGGGATTCCTTCTGGAACGCTTGGAGTTATCCGCGACATACATTGCCGCTCATGGTTCTCAACGCGGCACACCGATGGCTCGCGCATCGCCACCTCCATGGCTGGTAGTAGGCCTGGGGAATCGTTCGCGGACGCTGTCTTTGCGTACATCTATGGCAAGGTCCTCCAAAAGATCTCTGATGCCGCAAAGGCGGCGGGGCTCTCCGAGGCACACCTGTACTCTGAAGCCCGAGGGGCTTTTGGACATGGTGACGAAGGACAGGCCATCACAGCCCAGGACGCTACATGGGCAGACGACACTGCATACCCGGTGGAGGCTGATACACCGGGGCAGATGGTGGACAAGCTTGCGACGTTG